GAAGAGAAGAAAGAATGCAGAGAATTTGTAGTGAGCTTTAATTTTCCTTAATAGCAGGCACAGGATTTGTTCTGAGAGTTTTATTATTGGGTGATAAGGTAATTACAGTGGTGGGGCAGAAGGCCAGAAGAAGACAGAGAAATCTAATATCATTAAACATTTAGGTTTAGAGAGTACTTTGGGTTCTTTTTAAAAATATACTAGCCACCTACAAACAACCTCCTTCACATTTAGGGAAATTTAAACATTATATAATTATTGCACCTTGTGTGTTAACATATATAGTAAGATTAAGTATCTTGCAGTTTTCACTCTCACTTCTCACATTTACAAAATGTCTAAAGGGAAGGGATTTGGCTGAAGTCACTGAGACAGAAGAGGTTAAAATCAGTAGCTAGAGAAAGAAAGAGCTGTAAGACATTCTGCAAGGGTTTTTACTATGAAAACATTCATGCCTGATTTGTATCTGGAACAGGCAAGTCATTTGTTTGGAGTTCAAGGTAGGTTTCCTGTCTCAACTCAGCAAGTTATACCTGTCCAGAAACACTTAAACCCATTCTTGGTCTCAGGTTTCACCACAGCATAAAGTTTAAGCAAGTGATTGAAAGGTATTTGAATAAAGATGGACCTTAGCAAGAGACTAAAGGTGTCTTGCTGATCAAGACCCTAGACACATGTAGGAACTCTATACCAGAATTACATAAATCTTAAGAAAAGTGGAATATTTTTTTTATCATTACTTTCTACTCCATTTCCCACAAATCATAGGAAACAGTGGATTTAGGAAGAAACATTGTGTTTCTCCTGAAGTATTTTGGAATCTCAAATGGTCTTGGCTTTTTATATTTTATGTCATTGAATTATCATAAAATAGTTTAATAAAAAAGGTAGCATTATGGTAGCATTAAGTAATATTAAATTTGCCTCCCTAGTAGCTACTGACTCAACTGTATGTCATATGAGCATAAAAGCTTTTATTCACACATTTTTAATTTACTTCTTCAGAGCACTGAAAGATATATCAAGGATGCACTTTCCCCTACTTTCTCAAAAGATGGACTTAATATGACCATCTTTCCCACTTTTTAAAACAATTTTTGAAAAAAATTCACAATTGCTTTGGGTGCACAGAGATATTTTCCTTCAAGTGTAAACATTCTCCTACGATGCTCATGATCAATATAAACAAGTGTGGGTTTTCTAATGCATTAAAAAAAGTATTACCAAGTCTCAAAACCTGCTATTTCTGTATGTCATTTTAGTGCATTGACTAAAATAATGCTCCACTGTAAAACAGGTTCCTGTGCTTTTACCACTGAAAAGCCTGGGTAGGCTGGCTGTCCTCAAAATCTCAATGGATTTTTCCTTCAGCAAAGGCCTTATCGAAATCTTGTGAAGCTGCTAGAACTCATGAACCACTAAGGCACCTCTTAATCACATCCTTATCACAAATGTCATGTTTGCGCTCCACTCCCAAACAGATGAGCTGTTAGGAAGTGAAAAAGCTGGTGCTATCTTGAAGAAAGGATGGCAGCAACCTGGAAAAGAAGGGTGTCTCAACAGTAATAACAGGAGCTGTTTGTGTTCTGCAGATTGCAAAGGAAAACATCTGGGCACAACAGCTTTTTGCAACTGGTAACACAGCTGGTAATGGGAGAAGTACAGTACCTGAAATTTCTTGTGAAATAAGGTGAATTTCTGTATTTCCTTATCATGTTATTAATTTAAATTTTAATTGTTTTTGTAGGAGAAGCTGTGGTTGCAACCTCAGGCTAGGAGCTTGCAAGTACTGTCCTTGGCCAATGAATGCTACTTCTGTTTTTGTCACTCTTCCAATAGGAGGACTGACAGACCTCCTATCTAGAAGAGAAAAAAATAAATTGCCAGTTGAATGTTCAATGGAAAAGTGTCTTTAAAGCTGCCAATGCTACCTTCTGCTGTGGAAGATGACTTTTAAACTCAATTTCAGAAATAATTATGCCAGTTGTGGATTTTAACTGGACGACTCCTCTTACCTTTCCTAAAGAGCATTCTCAGGAAATTTCAGCATCAGAATTGTCAGTAGCAACCTGATAAAATTGACTGTACTTTCTAGAAATAGCTTTTTCGTACAATGTTTCGAATAATTCCACAAACCTATTCAAAATGTCATTTTCTAGCAGGGAAAAATATAAACAGTCCGATGAAGGTTTAAAAAACATGAACTCATACCTTCTATGGCAAAAAGGGGGGTAATCTCTAAAATCTTACGGGAAGGATGCAAGGCCGGGGCCTCACTGGTGACAGAGCTTTGATTTGCACCATGGTAAGTTACACACAGAATGTACTATTAGATAGATCTGCCTAGTTCTTGTTTCAGATACACAGGAAAACAGTTCATTTCTGAATCTCTCTACAAAATCCTGATTTCCTAAATAGTTGTGATTTGATTTTGGAAAGGTGCTTAAACTGATTCAAAATTAGCTGTTATAGGAGAAGAGCTACTTTAGCAATGGGCTCAGACATAGATGTGGTGTGGGGAGCCTGGAAAAGGGCTCACTCCCATGATCCCAGTGCAGCTCACTCACATGATCCCAGTGCTTAAGCATTGCAGTAAATTCTGCTGATAGCACGGTGAGAAGTGCTCTCACTTTCCTGTGGTAAATCCCTGTTTTAGCAACTGTAGGCAAAAGGGTCAAATATTTAACTGGGTATTAAACTTAGCAAAATAAACTGAGTTTCTTGTGCAAAAAACATTCATGTAAGTTTATTATCCTATCTGTCTGAAAGGTCAGGAATGGCTTTACAAAGTTTGAAACAGTTGTGCTGGAAGAGCTGAAGAGCAGGGTGCTTTGAGCAATGACCAGGCAGACCGTGCCTACAGACCATATCTACAGCACAGGTGGCAAAAAGTGAAAGGTCTGATTAATGTACCTGAAAACTTGGAGTGGGGCAACCCCCGGTACAGCTGTGACCTGATGTCCCCACTGCACCTTCTTTCTAGGTGCCCCATTACCCATTTTTGTAATGGACTGTAATAATTTCTGTCTGTTAGGGGAAATACTATTTTGTTTACAACAACAAAACAAATCTCAGTGACTCTTAATGCTGTATAAGCATGACACAAGACAGGCTGAGTAATAAGGTTTGGACACAGGCATTCCATGCTCCATGCTGCTGATGTGCAAAAGAACTGCAGACTTATCTGTTGCAGCTTTTTAAAACAACTGATTCTTACTGGAATGTACATACACACACACACACCCTATATTTCCACATTTTATGAGGGAAAAAAGCTGTCTTCCACTTCCCCTTTTTTCTGTTTTTTTCCCCATCACAGTGTAACAACTCACTATTAGACTCCTATTTTCTCTCTCCCTGCCAAGCAGTCAGTCCTTGCAGTTGCTTCTCTTGGGATTCTGACAGCTTTAACTAAAAGTAGTTGTGAGGGATTTTTTCACTTATAAATGCCTTCATTTGGAAAATGCATTTCCAATCATTTCTGCAAACATCCATTGTTTCAATGGCAATGTTGTCTTTATTTCTTGTAACAGAACACTTAGCCTAAATTGTCATGAGTAATTTAGTTCCTGCCTACAGCATGCTAGATTTTTTATTCATTTCTATCATTCAGTGTTGCAGTTGTTAATTGGCTGGTCTAACAGCTGAGGTCTTACAAAGAAAGTGCAGCTCTCTCTTGTCACACCAATGAAATGGATAGTTCAAGGGATGGTTTTAAGGTTTGAGATGATTATGGCCTAGCCCTTTTGTAGTACCTTTCACACACTGGTATCTGTGGGAAATCACTGGTGCCTCTGGGAGTTAAGGTGGTGGAGAAAACCTTTCTCTTTATTGATTCCAGCTAGTCCCACTGTATGGGAAAAGCTGAAAGCTTTAGCAGGTCCCATTCTAGGTTGCAGGGTTTCAGGCAATTTCCCTCTGCTATAGATGATAAAGATTATTTTAAAATTATTTCTGTGTCTGATTGTATTTTTCAAAGATGACACAAGAATGGATGGATGGATGGATGGATGAACTATTGTTAGACAACATGGGCAGCACCTGCTCACTGCAGGGAGGAAGAGGATTCAAGAGATGCAGGAATAAAGCAAATATAGGAAGAAGGAGTAGATAGAGTAAGGTATCACAACCCCAAAACCCAACTGATTTACTGGATGACTTTACAATATCATGAGAAAGTTGTCTTTTCATTGAAGCTGAAACTTCCCAAATTACAGAAATACAAAAACCTACTTGGACACCCCACTAAAATTAAGGATGCCTGTTGTGGGCTGGGCCAGAGTGTTGGTGGAGCTGAGAGGGGAAGAGGAATTTACCAGCATACCGGGCCCTGTTTGCCTGGTGACATTTTTGGGAGATGATTAGTCAGAGCTCTGCCTCACTATGATGGGATGATGGAAATCGTGTACTCTGAGTAATGTGGAGTAAGCACTCCACATTATTCTGATAGAAAGCGTCTGGCAATTCCCTCGAAATAATTGTTTTGGTTATAAACTGGGTGGGGCGGAGGGAGGGAGGGCTTAATTAATATTCATTTTCTTAGGGGTTTTTTTTTCACCTTGCAGATGCTGCCCTTCCATCCCCAGCGCATTCTGACCCTGCTGGCTTTCCAGGCGGGCAGCCCACCTACGCGCCACCGCCGTTTATCCCCTCTCCCTCCTCTGGCTCCGGGCCAGGTGGAGCGGTGGCGGCAGGGCGGGAGGGAGCGGCTGTGAGTTCCCGCACACCCCGCTGTCCCGCTGCCGTCCCGGCCGCGCTGAGGCGGCGCCCCCGCTCCCGCTCGCGCTCCGCCCTGAGGGCGGAGCCGGCGGTGGCACCGCCCG